GCTTCTCCTGACAAGTTTCTGTACATTTTGGATACATTTCATCGAGTATCAACTCAATTGTATAAACAAGAGGAACTTTCGTGAAAAGTGACGCGACATCAAACGAAATCATTTGTTTTTTCGTATCATCCGAATTCAACTTCGAAATCCTTTTGACAAAGTCAAAAGTGTCCCGAATGACGAACGGACTATTTCGAAGAGGAGCCAGTCGTGCTGATAGTACTTTGGCTGATAGTTGGTGCTGACAGTTCTCAGGCAGTACGAGAATGTCAACGAAGCCTCATTCAAGCCGAAATAAAATTTAAGAAATGGCAACTAACTCGAGCTCAAAGGTGTTACAGCAGATTGAAAAGAATGTTGGAAGGAAATTTGTCTCCTATCATTATGACAAGGGTGAGTGCAATTGCTGAATCTATTGCGGTAACAAAGAATGCGAGAAGCAAGCAGATTCATCTTAAGAAGTTGGAAATTCTTCGTGAAGATGAAATTCATGATGTTCATGAAACTATACAGTTAGATCCTATTATAAATCTTTCCCATAGAATTCTAACTGAGCTCGAACACGATGCATTGAAGTTTGGGTTACATCATGTATTTCCCCCCGAGAAGTTTGATCAAAAACAGTTTATTTGCAATATGGAATATTTTTATGCTCGATTACTAAATCTACGTACTGCGTATCATCACTATGATCAGAAATCGGCTAATGAGAAGGTTTTACATCATCTCTCGGCTGAACAATTAGGGGCAGCATCTCAATTGCGCTCAAATGCTATCAGCTTTCAGAGAAGTGCAACGAAACAAATGAGAATGTTAGGGAAACAACAGCGTATTCATCGAAGGGTCCTGCGTGAGCTCGCGAACGATAAAACAATCATCATAACTAGACCAGATAAAGGCAGAGGAGTAGTAATTCTTGACACAATCATTTCAACGTTTGCAACAATATTCTCAAGCAATTAATCAAAGTGTGTTACAGTATCATACACAAGTATTAAAGTTATGCCAAGATGCAAACCCTGATATGGGTGAAAGAACAAAAGTACAATATCTTATGGCAAATTTATTACCATCTCTCAAAATGAAAGTTATTTCAAAAGATCCTCAAACAATCGATCAATTTTTGCAAATAGCAAGAAAAGCTGAAGATCTTCAAGCATTAGTAAACCAAGACGAAAGAATGAATAATTACTCAAATGATTCAATAGGAACAACTTCAAATGTTAATTTTTCTTCTGCTTCTTATGTAGCTCCACCACTCAGAAATAATAACCATCAAAAGCAACAATATACTCAACAACAGAAGCCCCGTTCACAATTAGAAGCTGCTACCACTAATATACCAATCACTGACTCAGTTCTTTCCTCTCAACAGGTAGTTTCACCTTCTACTCGACAACAATCAAATACAAATGAGTCTTCAACTCGGAAAAATTCCAATAATGTTTCATCTAATTCACAAAATTACCAATACCATCAGCAACCATCATCAAATCGTAATCGCCGATGGAATAATTGCGATCCTCGTGATACCCACCCACGCGACGCCCAGCATTTTTAGTAGCGGAAGCATCGGATGGTGATGCCTCCAGTAACGTTAACATCAAAAATCCATCACTTATTTTTATCACCTCCTCTGTTAATAACTGTCCTACAAGAATAATGATAAATACCGGAGCAACACATTCAATTATCACAGAAAAAACTCTTCGAAGAACAAAATATCGAAAGTTTATTACCAACAGAAATCTTCAATTATTCATGGGAGATGGATATTCTCCATTAGAAGCTATTGGCGTTGTCGACCTTGATATAAAAATTAATTCAACACTAACCACAATTTCTGCATTCGTTGTCAAACACCTTAGTGCTGACTGCCTACTTGGAATGGATTACATTAACAAATACAAACTAAAACTCGATATGGCTGAGCATACTATTTCAATTCGTACCAATCAAACAACCACAACGATAAGCATCAATCAGCAACCTGAAGAGTTACGACTTCCTGTTCGTTTAATTAACTCTGTTATCATCCCTCCACTGCAAGAAGTTTCAGTTCTGGTGTCGGCCGGAATATCATCGGCATCGGTACTGTTTAAACCTTCTTTTAATCTCAAACGGCAAGTTCCTCTTCTCATGTGTAATTCAATATTAGCGGTCGAGCGTCATACAACTTCTGTTCCTCTTTACAATCCTTCACATTACGCACAATATTTATCAAAAGGCATTATCCTTGGAACAATCCGATTTCCTCCAGACCACAATATTAGCCTTCAAGTTGATAATATTCCTGTATCAGATAATTGTGAATTAAATATTTTAAGGTTATTAGCACACATCCAAGATGAGACACAACATTCAAAAGTAAAATCTGTTTTACTTCAACGCCGAAAACCTTTTGATAATTCAAAATCAACTATCGCAACAACAACCCTTTATCATACCATACCAACAACTGGTCATCATCCCTTCGCTTCAAAACCTTTCCCTCTCTATGGTGAAAAACGACAAGAACTCAAGAAACTTTTAGACGAGCTACAACTTTATGGGCATATTCGTCGATCTGATTCGCATTATGCTGCACCAGCTATTCTCGTCGAAAAGAAAGACAAAAAATATCGACTTGTAGTCGATTATAGACAACTTAATTCAGTTACAATCAAAGATCCATTTCCACTACCTCGCATGGAAGATACACTTCAAGAATTGGGTCAAGGTTATCGTTATTTTTCAAAACTCGATTTAAAATCTGGTTTCTTCCAGTTTACCATCGACGAAAAAGACAGACACAAGACTGCGTTTACAACTTCCTTCGGCGTTTTCGAATTTACAGTTCTTCCTCAAGGTCTTAAAAATTCACCTCCGTCGTTCCAGAGAATCATGAGTCGCATCCTTGAACCATGTCGTCCATATTGCATTGTTTATATTGATGATATAATTATTTTTTCACAAACTTTCGAAGAACATCTTGTCCATCTTCAAAATGTTACTTCTCTTCTTGAACAAAATAATTTACAATTGTCTCAGAGTTGTAACCGGTCTGGAAATACTAGACCGGTCCGGTCCGGCCGGTCTAAAAGTATTTCCAGACCGGTAAAACCCGGCGAGTTCATCAAGTTTTTTCAAGTAATAACATTGATATTAGCGACAAAATTTTGTTCTGAATACCTACAGATTTTTACGCCTGTCTTTTCTGTAATGCTTATACTAGAATTCTAATACGAAAAAACCAACCAACATTTTCAAGATTGAGTTTCTTCTGCATGAGATAAG